CTGTCGTTTCGACTAGTCACAATTACGTTACAGATATCTTGAATGACAATTCCAACTATCCAAAATGTAATTACGACTAGTCAGAAAGAAGTTGTTGATATCTACAATGTTAATTCTGGATAGTCAAACTTAGCTTTTAAATGTTAAGAGGGCTTGCCATACAAGTAAGTACCGGTATGCTACTCCTAATAGCTTGGTTTCAGTCACGTGATTATGATGACACGAGAAATTCAGATGGAGGGCAGGGAGTGAAGAGCGCAATGGACGAGATGGAGGAAAGTCCGTACTGTACTACTTTACACTAGTGATGGCGAGATGAAGCTTCATAAAGCATTGAAGCGTTTCATCCAATTGGTTCACTCATGTGCCGAAGCTTCATGGTGCTTCATTTGCTCTATTGTGCCATCAAGTGGACAATAAATGTAAAACGTGCAGTGTGATTATAATGACACTATGGCTTTGGTGTCTGAAGCATTGAATGAATTGAATGAAGAAAAAGAAGCTTGAATAGATCGCTAACAAACTCGCAAAGTCCCAAGTCCACAAAATGTGAGGGGGAATCTATTGCATTTTGCTGGCCCTTATATTTCAAATAGACCGCCAAACCGCGAACCACTTCCTGAAGCAGTCACGTGGCACAGGCGGCTCGCGAGGCTTCAAACGTCACCACATACGTCACCGACACAAGCCTCGATACGCGCTTCACAGAAATCATCCCGGATTACTCGACACACGCTTCGAAGCCTCGATACGGGAGGACACATCACTACTTTACACGCTATTACAAGAGAAAGATATAAACAAAAAAATCAAACCTATGTTGGACGTGATTCTTACGTTATGAAGCGGAGCGATTTTTCAACTGAATTGAAAGATTTTCCTGCCATCGAGGCGGTATATCAGCAACTACCTCGTCTTACAGACATACTTTGACTTTACAAAGTTCGGAAACGTTACACGTTACACAAACATAGCCACTTAAGTTGTATTAACTCACCTTTGACGAAGTGATCACTGCACACACGGGCATTTTTCCATTCGGCTCCTCCCGACGTAGGTTTGCAAGCCGTTTTCCCAGAGTTTTTCGGTCAATTTCTTGCATTTCCCCCCTTTTGAACAACAACTTTTGGTACACGATAAAAACTCCTCGTGGTTTGCTCGATTTAAGTAACCATAAACGACGCAAACATAGGCATTTTGAGTTTGTTATAGGCTATGTGCACAAGCGTAATTTCGAACTTCCGCTATTGTCAGAAGTCGGCATGTCAGTTTCCGGTTTACGGCTGTTCATCCGCATCCGCTATAAACGAACAAGATGAGTGCTGCTGTTGTACGAAGAAAAGAGTTGTTAAACACATCTAAGTTTCTAAGAACTGTAGGTGGATCTATCATCTAACGCCCGTTTCACACATACCCCGTTTGCAGTGCGTGTTGCGGTGCAGGAGCAACGCGGGCTATAGTGCTTTCACATATGATGCGTTTGCAGTGAATAACTGATCCGCGGCTGTACCACAAACACATTACTATTTTTATTTAAAATACAGAAGTTGTGCTGCAGCTTTTATTTCAAAAAAAGTTGTCAGCATTGCGATTCTCTTTGTACACACTCTTTAATGGACGTATGCACGTTTAAACACAATTTAAACAACGCAAGTTAGGGCTATTATTCCATGCATTACTTATATTAAGTTGCTCAAGCAAGTGGTCAAATTTACTATATTAAAATGGCAAATATTTTAAATTAAAACTTAAAATTGGCAAAAACAGCCGACTCACATGCCTTTTCTTTTGCATTTAAATTGTAATAGCCTACAATAGATCTTGCATGTCACAAAGAACTTGTTTTTCCACCTCCACGAATGAGACGAGTGTTGTTCATTATGTCGCCTTAATTGTAGTTTTCCTTGATTTACCCCGGTCTTCACAGTCTTCAGATGACTGTGAAAAATAGTAGTACCGGTATATTAAATGCATTTATGGTGAGATTACTACATTTTATTTAATGAAACGCATTTATGGGGAAATTACTACATTTTCAGGTCAATCTTTGTGCATTTTGACCACGAAACATGCGGTGTCACTTTAATGCAGCACAGCAGAAATAGATTCGGTGCAGAAACGATCGCTGCACTGCTGTTATACGTGCCGAATCTGGAACGGTGTGAAAAGTGAAAGCCCTAACCTGTTAACATGGTGCATTAGGAGCACTGCTGTGTGCCACTTTGCTCTGCTTCAAGTCGCTAACAGCCATTTGAGCTTCCAACGCTTCCCGAAAAACACCGACCTTCGTGCGCAGTGGCTGCACAAAATAGACATTTTGGGCGACGCACAAAATAGACATTTTGGGCGACAAAAAAAAAAAAAAAAGTATTTGTGGTACAGCCGCGGATCAGTTATTCACTGCAAACGCATCATATGTGAAAGCACTATAGCCCGCGTTGCTCCTGCACCGCAACACGCACTGCAAACGGGGTATGTGTGAAACGGGCGTTAGATGATAGATCCACCTACAGTTCTTAGGCCACGTTCACACTGCAAGTCCTAATGCTCAATTCTGATTTTTTGCTCAGATCCGATTTTTTGATTGGCTGTTCACATTATCTTTTAAAATGTGACCTATATCTGATTGCAGTGTGAACTGTTTGAGGTTTCAAACTAACCGGCATGCGCAAAAGAACAATAACAATGACATCAGACGCAGCACGCGGTTGCACTAAAGTTCGGGAGGTTATGGAGGAAGAAAGCATATTCGCATTTATTTCATAATGTTTGTGAATGGAAACTTTTGCGGGTTTATGGTTGCAAATTCACTACAGAGATCTGTGTGGATGCGTAGACGAAGCCAGGAGTCGTGGGAATATGTCGTGAATAGTTTCACTGAGACGCTGTTCTCCTGTGTCCCCGTTCTTCCGTTTCGTGTGCAATTTTTTCAAAAACGGAGCGGTTACGGTAGGTCCTTCTAGCTTGAATTGAAGTATCTCCCCATATACTACTTAGATCTAACACCTCACTCTCATTGACTCGCTTCATCGCTGTTCTCCATATCTAGTCAAGTTTTTAATGTTAGGCTACTGTCTGTGTCTGTTGTGTCTAGGGTTTTGCCGGCGCATAATTGTGACAAATGTCGACTTAGATTGACGTAAAAGTCGCATCAAATCCGCCTTGATTGTTCACACTGCGGCCGCATTGAAAAAAAATCAGATCTGGGTCTGATTCAGGACCACATATGTATGTGGTCTAAATCTGATTTGAAAAAATCAGATCTGGGCTAGATTTGAGTGTTCACACTACCTCTGAAGAAGTCTGACCTGGTCACTTGACCCCAAAAAAATCAGATTTGGGCCACTTTTACCTGCAGTGTGAACTGCAGGCAACTTAGATGTGTTTCTGCAACTTAGAAACTTAGATGTGTTTAACAACTCTTTTTTTTTTCGTACAACAGGAGCACTCATCTTGTTCGTTTATAGCGGATGCGGATGAACAGCCGTAAACCGGAAACTGACATGCCGACTTCTGACAATAGCGGAAGTTCGAAATTACGCTTGTGCACATAGCCTATAGTGCTTTCTAAATACAGCAAATCACTTCCTGCCCTCCATTTGCATTTCGCGCCATGGCAACGCAGTGGCGTGACGTCATATGAAAACAAGCCGAGCGTCACGTGACCAAACCGGAAAACGGGTCTCATTGCATCCGCTTGTCAGAGAAAGTGTTTACGGCCGTAAGAACTACGATATCTATGGATTTTTAAGGTAATCAGCTAACGTACTAAGTTCACTTTGTTATTGGTGTTTTATGCTATTTAAATATCTAAACGTTAGTGTGAAGAAGAAAATTTGAAAAACTTTTAAATATCAATCTGCACATGCAATGGACATTGGTTATGCTCATTTTTGCTTGCTCCTTTTAAGTTATCTTGAGTAAAACCGCAAAAAATGTCATGAAGCACATACAAAAGACCTGAATCGGAAGCGATGTGAGCTGTTTTCCGGCTTGGTCACGTGACGCTCGGCATAAAGCCTATCGCCATCTAGTGTTGGAAAGAAATACCGCAAGTAAATGTTGAAAACAGCAAGTACATTTCAAAGAGGATAAGCGAGTTTCTTATACATATTGTGTCATGATACCACACACAGGAAACAGGGATCCAATAGCAGTATTTATTTAGGGTAATCCGTACTCACAAAAAAGAGGATAAGCGAGTTTCTTATACAAATTGTGTCACGATACCACACACAGGAAACAGGGATCCAATAGCAGTATTTATTTAGGGTAATCCGTACTCACAAAAACCAGTCCAAGGGTCAAAATCCATAAGGCAATCCAAAACATAAAATACACGAGAAACAAGGCAAGAACACAGCACTCTGAAGTGGTGTGACGAATAACAAGGACTCCGTAACAAACACTAAACAGGCAGGGTATTTATACACACAGAAACTAACAATCATGATGGGGAACAGCTGAGTGCAATGAACAGTAATGAGCGCAGACAAGGATTGTGGGGGATGCAGTTCCTAATGTGAATGACTCCGTGGGGGAAGAGGACCTCTAGTCTAGTGGACACCAGGGAACATAAACCAACACTGTGACATATTGTGATTCTTGAGATAAATAGATTAAATATAAGAATGTTTTACAAATGTTTTCAAAGAAAATCAAGATGGCTCTTACAAGCCATCATTCACTCACTAGTTTACTTTGTGTAACGTCCAACAGTGTATGCGTTACAATAAATAGTTTTGTCATTATTTTTCTAAAAGCTCAGTGTCATTTCCATCAAATCTCAATTATGATTTGTGTTTTATATGACGCATATATTTCATCTTAAGCTTTTCACTGACGTTTTTTGTCTCATTGGTAAAAAAAATGTATTGGCGTCAAAAAGTTTGTTGTTGTAGATTAATAAAGCTATTTTATTTGGTCGGTAGAGGATTTAGATGCATCTAAATCAACGCAATTCTCAGAATAATATCAAGTTTAGATATGTATTGTGTGGAGAGAGGAGTGGTGTTAACTTTCACATGTGCACTCCCAATGCGTTTTTCATATATTAGCTGGGCAGGGCTTGTTTCACACCATTTTAGTAGTGGAATGCAGTGAGAAATCTATCCAGTCAGTCGCATGCTTGTGTGGTAAGTGAAGCAGATTACCTTTATTATCCTAAACAATTATAACAAGAGGCATATTGTGTGTAACTGAAATGTATTGTAACTTTCTTTCTTCAAAGGTTAAAAACGAAGATGCATTACCTCCCTGTCACTTTGCTAACATTCTTGAGCATATTATCTCAAGTGTTAGGAGGTAAAGTGTTAGTATTTCCACTGGATGGAAGTCACTGGGTGAACATGAAGGTCCTGATCGAGGAATTACACTCACGAGGTCACAAGGTGACGGTGCTAAGAGCCTCCAACAGCTGGTATATCAAGGAAGAGTCTCCTTTCTACAATTCCATCACCATTCAAAACACAGGAGGATTTGATGAGGACTTTTTTGGTTTAATGATCAGCCGTCTCCTGAAGATTAAAAGAGAAGGACATTCCGTTTGGAACCGCATTCAGCTGGAGTACGAAATCATCATGAAGTTTAAAAGCATGCATGAAGATATGTTGCAGATGATGGAGAGAATATTAGAAGATGAAAAAATGATAAACTCAATCCAAGATGCTAAATACGACGTGGTGCTAGCAGACCCAGCTTCTGGAGGCGGTGCAATCCTAGCTTACAAGTTTAATATTCCTTTAGTTTTCAACGTTCGGTGGACGATTCATGGAGAGGGACATTTCGCCATTGCTCCTTCCCCCCTGTCTTATGTCCCTGTCCCAGGAGTAGAGCTAACAGACAAGATGTCATTCCTTCAACGTGTCAAGAATGTTTTGACCTACTTTTTCACCCAGTTCCAGATTGCAATCATCTCTGAACCTACCTATTCTTCTTTTTGTCGCAAACATTTTGGCCCCAACGTTCATTATTTTTCCCTTTTCCAGGATGCAGATATCTGGCTCATGAGAAATGACTTTACCTTTGAATTTCCAAGACCCACAATGCCCAATATCGTCTATATGGGCGGCTTCCAGTGCAAACCTGCCAAGCCACTTCCAGCTGATCTTGAGGAGTTTGTGCGGAGCTCAGGAGATCATGGAGTCATCGTCATGTCTCTAGGCACCCTTATTGCTCAGCTTCCACAAGACGTCACCAATGACATAGCAGCGGCATTTGCTCAGCTTCCTCAAAAAGTGATTTGGAGATATACAGGACCTCGACCTGTGACCCTTGGTAACAATACCTTACTTGTGGACTGGCTCCCCCAGAATGACCTGCTTGGACATCCTCAAACTAAAGTGTTTGTTGCACATGGAGGCACCAATGGAGTTCAGGAAGCCATCTATCATGGGATTCCCATTTTGGGTGTACCATTAGTGTTTGATCAGCCAGACAATCTCTTCAGAATGGAATCGAAGGGAACAGCAAAGATTGTAGATATTGCGACTCTGGACAAAAATGTGTTTCTAGAGGCATTAAAGGAGGTTCTGCATAACCCATCTTACAGGGAGAACATGCAGAGACTGTCCAGACTGCATCACGACCAGCCAATGAAACCTCTTGATCGTGCCGTCTTCTGGATTGAGTTTGTCATGAGGAATAGAGGAGCCCCTCATTTACGAACACAGTCTTTCAGAATGCCCTGGATTGAGTACTACTCTATAGATGTTATTTTGACTCTAACGGTGACACTTTTCATATTTGCATTTTTGATTATATATGTGATTCGATATCTTTTTAGAGTTCTGTTCAAAAAGAAAGTAAAATGTGCATGATGTATACCTACTGTATGAGTTCGTTGTAGAAAAAATTCAAGCATTTACATTTGCTAATTTTGTACGGACTTGTTAGAGCTGCATTTATTGTTGGTTAAATCTTGAGCCTCAATAGATGCAAATTTCATAACTGTGATTAATACAAGGACTAAAAAAAGTTTTCCCCGGCATTATGAAGTTTATTTTTTTGTGTTAAAATGCAGTTTAAAAGTTTGACTTCAGTAAGACTAATTTGTCTATTTAGAATGTCATGTAAAGGCTTTTAACAGAAATTATATTGATTACACGTTAGATCACACATAGTTGAACAGACAGATGAAGACTGTATCTTGACGATGATAAAACCCACTGTAAATCCGGTAACGCTTTAGATTACAGCCCGGAAAGTACTGTGTAATTAAGAGGAATTTACAGTGTAACTTTCTGTAATTATAGTGTACCTATAAAGTACTTGCATGTAAGTATAAGGGAACAATATGTAAAGTTTGGGGAATAAAGGGATAACAACCAGGAGAATTAAAAAAATATTTATACTGTAAGTATTATAGAACTAAGGGGTACTTATTCTACTATTATGATATAACAATCTTACATTTGTGATCAATTTAGCAAGAACATACACGGCGTACCTTTTTGTAATAATTGTGTACCAATACATACTGTATAGGCTTTTTAAAAATGACAGGGTACATACAGTATATAGGCATTTATACAATTCTTTATTTATTTTTTGATAGCAAAAGTGCAGATTTTTAAGTTTGGGCTAACATGTTTCAAGGCAAGAAAAGCTAAGACTATTGCAATTTTTTTAAATACTGGGAAATATATCTTGTTTGACAGACTGATCTCATGAAATGGCGTATGTATGACACGCCAATTCGTATTTCCATTTTTGGCGTGCTATCAACACGCATAATCGCTTTTCAGCGTGTTTATCAACGCCTTTGACTTAACGTTATATTACTGTATTATGCATATATAAATATATGACCTACCCCAACCCCGTCCCTAAACCTACCCGTCACTGGGGTTAATACCATTTATGAGTCTTCTCCTACCATCCTAGGAAAAGAAATATCGCTCCACAGATGTAGATATAGATTTTGCTTCGTTTCGCTCGGACATTTAACGGCGTAGACATACACGCGGAATCACTCGGACATTTAATGGCGTAGACATACACGCAAAAGATTTCGGCGTGGACATACACGCGGATATTTCAAAATGCGTATAGATAACACGCCACTTGAATTGAAAGTGGCGTGTATGTTTACGCAAAGTCATGATGTCATGTTGTGTTTGATGTAGTTACAGGGTAAGTGGTGCTTGTATAATAAATAAAGGTTTCCGAGTCAGTGATATAAAACTGTGTATGCATTTTTATTGTACTTACCCTGTAACTACATGGAATAAGAGGGTATAACAAGCACCACTTTAATTTACAGCCCACAATGTTACACTTACCCTGTAACTACATGGAACAAGAGGGTAACAAGCACCACTACATGAAACAAGAGTATCTTTCCCCAATATTTAAGCAAAAGTTGCAATAGTTTTCGTTTTCAGTGCACTTTTGTTAAAAAGATTACTTTATAAATGCATAGATATGTACCCTGTAATTTTTAAAAAGCCTGTAATTTTACAGTATGTACTGGTTCACCGTTATTTCAAAAAGCTACGCAGTGTATGTTCTTGCTAAATTGCTCCCACATGTAAGATTGTTATATCATAATAGTAGAATAAGCACCCTTTAGTTCTTTAATACTTCAAGTATAAATAATTGTTTAATTCTCCTGGTTGTTACCCCTTTATTCCCCAAACTTAAAATATTGTTCCCTTATACTTATATTGTAAGTGCGTTATAGGTACACTATAATTACCGAAGGTTATGCTGTAAAATCACTTTAATTACGCAGTACTTTCCGGGCTGTAATCTAAAGCGTTACCGTAAATCCATGACTGTGTAAATGCAAGCTGTGATTGACTTCAGATTATGAAGCAATAAATAACTGAATAACTGTCCAATTGTACAGATCTAACTGAAATATTTAAATTCTATCCGATGCTGATTTCTTCTCCCTCTTCCAGAATGCTGACATGATTTCATGATTTTTTTTCACCCTCTTCCATGATGCCAACAAATCATTGGTCATTGGTGCCAACTGCATTCCGTAACTTTTATGGCACTTTTCCACTGTATGGTAGCTTTGTACGGCTCACTGTTGGGGGTTTTCCACTGTGTACAGTACCTAGTACCTGGTAATTATATCTTGGTAACACTTTAGAATACGGTTCCTTCGTTAATGAATAACTACACAGGAACAAATGAGTAACACAATATTAACAATCTAGTAACTACTATTAACTAACAAGAAATTCTGATTAACGAATTAGTAAGTAACAGCGCACAGATGAAAGTGGTAGTTCACAATTAACTAATTGATAACTACTATTTTTTTTATGCTTCCCAGAGAACTACTGAAGAATATTAATAGTTCATGCAAAACTAATCAATAACTAATGCAGGACAAATGACTAGCACTACATTAACATTAATAACTGCTGTAAACAAATACACACGGTTTATCAATATGTAATAGCATAGCAGACTTATGATTTGGGAAATAATTAGCCTATGCTCTCTCCTAGAGAACTATTTATCAACTGAATAATTTTAAAGGGGTCATATAATGGTACATGCACTTTTACAAGTTGATTGTACTGAAATGTGTGTTGGCAGTGCCTGTACACAACCATCATATAATGATAAAAATCCATCCAGTGTTTTTGTTTTAATCTCCATATATGTTTTCCCCTGCCTCAAATTGAGCCGTTCGTTTTTGTGACGTCAATAAAACGGACGCCCCTCCCGCGATTGTTGATTGACAGCAGTGATTCAACACAGACCCGCCCTCGCTCGTCCTGTCAATCATAGTCCGCGCGGATCGGCGCGGTCATTGTTGATATGCTGGAGCACTGTCTATGAGCAGAATGGCGTCTAAGCGATTGTGGTGTTCTGTTCTTGGGTGCAATAACGAACACAGCAGTGTAGAGACTTTAAGGATGAACCAAACACGAATTAATCTTTCTAATCTCTCATGGGATTCATTCAAATGTGATTCAGCATTTCGGATCTGAATACCACATTCCAAAGTCACAAGACTGGCTCCAAATTGTCTAGAAAACCCCCCCAGAGAAGTCTTTTATGGCCCCGCAGGCATTAGAGATAAGCCTAAACAGGAAGAACGTTGTCACTGTTTCATCCTTAAGCAAGACAAAGCTGCTCAGAAATGGTGAGACGAGGCCTGACCATTAAGGGGCCTGACCACCTTTGACCTCCCTCAGCATCACCACTGCCGAGCAGGACAGCGATGTAAGACAGACCCCGCTTCCATGGAACGTGAGAGACTTACACAGACTTTACATATCAAACCCATTAAAACTCACGCAGAACAATGCTCCGTGGACTTAATCAAACATCATAATTCTTGTTGTTCCTACAATTCATGTTTGTATTATGCGTAGATCACATATAAATCATGTAATTGTGATATAACTGTGTGTATGGATGAAAGGGTATCGTGCTTCCAATCAAAAGAATCGTATGCCCTTAATTCAAAAGGTGGCTTGTTTGAAATCTGTGTAAAATGTTTTGTATGATTATAATAATCTATAATGTTTAAACTGGGGTCTCTTGTTTCTCTGCTAAGTGCTGGAACCCAAGCAGATCCCAGATAACGATAAGTAGGAACGATCCACCTCCTAAAATGATGCCATTGTCTCATTGGTCAGAATTCTCCAAAAGAGGTTGGACTAACGTTTAAGTTAAAGACCCGAACAAAGGAGTTAGAGTAAGTTGAAAAAGAAATTCGGTTCAGAGAGCAGTTCGGGGTTGCCGTTCGGTTTTGAGTTCGGCTCGTGTTGAATTAAGTTTGCGCCTCTCTCTAGCAACAGCAAGAGAGTGTTCCTGTTCGTGCTTCTCTCTGAAAACACCAAAGAGCGTGTTCGCACGCTTCTACATCGACCAGACCAAATTAGACCAGCAGACAAATAACCCATCAAGATCGGTGTTGAAACAGCTCATTCAAGCCATCTAACTCGTCTTACTTTCATTTCTTCCTTTATTTTCTTTTTTCATAAAAGTCTCGGTTCAACGTTAAGTTGCTGCGAAGTTCGTTTAAACGTCTCTCCTGCAACGCGCTTCGAACTGTAAAGACTCTTATTCGCCTGCCAATCACACGTGACCGGCAGTTCAGAAACTTCCATCCAGGCACTTCCAAGACAACCAGCCACACGGACCCGGTCGGGAAACCCCTTTGACGAAGCACCGCAAAAAGGGAACTCCCTAAGCAACGCAAAGACAAGCAAGTAGCAGCTACTCCAGACTCTTAACTGAACTGGTGCAAATGTAAATTGAATAACCTGTCTAAGAAACGAAGGTTTAAATTAATGCTTGGTGGTTCGTTCAGGTCATGTCTTACAAAGTGCATCTCTGAAAACTCTCTCTCACTCTCTCTCTCTTCCTCTGCGCCTTGTATGAATGCGTGTGTGTGATTTGTGTTTAGACCTTAGTTTTATTATGTGTTTAGAATAGTTAATAAAGTCGTCAATATATTTGAAAAGATATTTGCCTTGTGTTGTGCTTGCACATTTAATGTCTTGTACTGTCGATCTAAAGTTACCTTGCTAATACATAGTGTTTCACTATAGATTGGATATTTATATCTGTTGCCAAGGTTATAATTACGGCCCGTTCAAATGAACTCTAAACGAGTCATTTGCTCGGTTCCATAGTGATTCGGTCAAGATTCAATGCAAATCGATGAATCATTCCTTTTGAGCTAAATTGGCCTTCCGGCCCCCCTTAAATACATTTTATGTATATTATTATTGTGTGATTCGTTACAGCAGTCATTTTAATGTTCCTAAATCCGAACCGCTGAAGACGCAGTGGCTGAGTTTGTTTTCGAAGGGAATATTCCCCACGAGCAACGTCAATGCTCTCATGTTTGCCGAATCATTTCTCAGTGGACTGCTTTATAAACGAGGATCAGTGTAAAGCTGGTTTTGCTGAGAAGCTGCACCTGAATAAAGGATCGGAACCTATTCGTGTTCCTGCTGAACCTTCAGAAGAACTAAAGTGAGTGTAACGTTTTATTAA